AAAATATTTTATTTAAGGTTTAAAAATGAATCGTTCCAGTGGCACCACGATGATTGTACTGCGTAACGTACAGTGACGTGCAGTAGTAGAAAAAAGTTACATTGCTTTGAAGGAAAATGTAGACTAAGAAGTTTTTGGCAGCACGGAAGGTGAAAATATATGATGATTTAAATTGAAACTAAGAAATTTCACATTTGGCAGGTGTTTACCCTCGTACTGCTGCTTAAAGATGCAGTACACTATTCTTTAGTAAGAGTTTTATTTCCTCTGATAGATGAAGCTATGAAAACCAGTGCTTTTTCTACAATGAGATAAAATAATTTTGAGAGAAAATGAGAGACATGTTAGAACACAGTATAACCAGGTTAAAAACTTGAACAATTTTTAATGGTGGAGATATACCAAAAAAGACTAATCACCAAAGGAGGTTTATTATTCAAGCACTATTTGAAAAGCAAACTGAAGGAAACTTTTCTATCCATATTTTCTGGGATGAGCCCTGGAAAAAAACAACCCTAAAGTTTCTGTTTAGAGAGCAAAATTTAGCTGTTAGAAATGGCATAGACTACTGTACTGTTAGAACTCTAGACACAAGGAACATACTAGGATATGGAATTGCATCTGTCTCTAATGTGAATATGAAAGGTCGGAGTTGAGGCTATCACTCACTGCATAGAAACACCAGATTCTACAAACTGAGGTAGGAGCACTACACTAAAAGGTAATCTTCTATGTTGCATAAGACAGTAGATATCCAGGTTGACACCAGCCCCCTGTCTCCTGACAGCCTTTTCATCTCTGGGTCTACTTTTCACATTAGTCCTGTGCTAAATAAAGCCTTTGCTATGTAGATGACAAGTGGCAGTGGCTAGTTGGTTTTAACTGACCCCTAATCTCTACTAGGATCTCTTTCGGTTTATATTGTCACTCGATAAATAGATGTTTATAATTCTGCCTAAATTGTTGCTGGTATGAAAATGGTCACAGAGGCCCTCTTCCCTTCTTAGATTCCAGCTGTGTTTTAGCATTCCAGTATTTGATCTTGGCCATTTGGCATCAGACATCTTTTTGCTGGTTAGTTGTTCAAGCACCCTTTAAACAAGCAACCCTGGTGCCTCCACTGGGAAGAGGTCCCAGATCTTTAATACATGTCAGGCATGGAAACAGAGCTGACTGACCCTCTTCTGCTAACATTGGTAAGGATCAGTTTTACTGTCTAGATCAGGATTGGCATATTATGGCCTGTAGGCCAAATTCAGCTCACTGTTTTCATAAAGTTTTATTGGAACACAGCCATGTTCCTTCATTTACAAATTATGGCTGTTTTTGTGCTGTGATGGCAGACTTGAGTGGTTGTGACAGAGCAAGGCATGCTAAGCCAAAATAATTACTGTGTAGCACTTTACAGAAGTTTATTGACCTCTGGTCCAGATGAAAGGATGTCTTTAAAATTATGCAAATCTCTCCCTAAGAGCCCCGATTATTCCACAGTTGTTGTATTCTAAACACGGACATGGTTCTACCATCTCAGGGGACAAAACAGGGGAGGTCAAATCTACAAGTGACTCATTCTGTTCTGTGTTTGGGGCTGTCCAATTAGGGAATCAGCAGCTGCTCTACTTTTGTGTGGGTCCAGGAATATGTCCATTGACCATCCTTAAATAAGCCCTCAAGCCCCAGATGACTTAGAAATCTCTCCCTGAGATGAAAACAGGATCTTGTGTGTGATTGGTTTTAGAGTTGAAGAGCTTGGGCCTAGGACCCCACACTCACCCTTCCTATGCCTGTGCTGTGTGCTTCCAGGACTTCCCTCTGCAAGGATGGTGATGCTTTCCTAGAACTTACGCAGAGGATGACCCTAGGGGGCAGCATTTCTACATCTAAGTGTTGGTCTCTGCCACGGTCACCTTCTGTGTTTTGTAGGCATCTCTTAGAAATCCTATTTTAAAAGATTCTTTTCCTGGTCCCTTCTAAGGCTGTTGATCTTGGAATTCTATTTTCTGAAGCTTTTCATTCTCAGGATCAGTTTCTTTCTTGCATCGTTTAGTTCATCAGGGTCTATTTTCTTAATCCATAAAGTAAAAACAAAATATGAATTGTTAAGAAAATAACATTTTGTTGTTAAAATATAAATTGAAATAGTCTTTGGGTCGGGGGGTGTATATAAAATAAGCACTGCTCTCCAAATCTCAACAGTCTCTCAGGTAACTTAACTCTTTCTCTTAACCATACTTTGTCCAACATTTCTGACAGAACTATCTCTGGCACCACTGAATTCATTTAACGCCCCTGGAGCACTATAAAAGTCTTGAGGTTCTTCAGAAAAAAAAATCACGTTAAGTCTAGTTTCATTATACAAAACTGTGGTGATGCCCACTAGGCTCTAGACTAAGGGGACAGACTTACCCCACCCCTGCTGCTGCTGCTGCTGTAGCGGTGGTCCCTTCAGATGCCCACTCTGCTCAGATTTGAAAAAACAAAAGGAAAAGAAAATCCAACTCAGACCATCATAAGAAGCAACTTTCCATTTAATCATTCTACATGGATGTTTACTTTTTTAAAAGTTCTGTCTGGCAAAAAAAACTAAACAGTCCCCATTGTCCAGATCCCTGGACTGCCCTGCTGAGGCTGCAGTGACTAATCTACTGGAACCCAGTGGCACCAGCAGGAAAGCTCCTGCAGAATACAGAGGACAGCAGCTCTCTAGTCTTCAACTAGTGTCCCCTCTGCTAGGTGACACTACTGCAATAATCAGTAATAGTAAAATAAATTATTTTTATTTGATACTTCAAAATAATACACATCTATGAAAAATCAAAATTCATCAACCAAAAATTATCCTGCAAATTGGAAAGATGAGAAACAGAGTCGCTGAGCCTTTCTTGAAATAACTTCTGAAGAAAATGAGTTTTCCCAGTTTGTTTAGACAGGGCGTGAGCCTATCCCTTTCTTCTTCTGGGAAACACCCTCCTAGGCTGCAGTGGACTTTGAGTCATGAGAGGAGGACTTGGTATATGTGCCGATGGTTCCGCGATGGGTCCCATTGCTGGGAATGGGTAGCCGGGCTCCTTGGTCCACCTGGCTAGTTTTTGGGAGGAGTCATGCCTTCTCAGGTGTCAATGAGCAGGCTCACCACTGAGCGGATTTTGCAGGCAAACCATCGCCTGAGGGGACAAAAGTATTGATAGTGGAATTGTTCAAACTCGGGGGTCTGGCGGATATCGCGGAAAAAGGCAATGTCAAGGTCAGACTCGGTAAGGATGATCAGGAGGAGGAGCAAAACAAAGAGGAGTCCCATGGTCACAAGGAGCAAACGGAGGACACTTAGAACAAACTTATTCACCTGTTCCTCCTCGGGCCCGCCGTGCCCCTGACACAGGGCCCTCAGCTCTCCCCCAAGGGCCTCCACCTCTGTAGCAGTTGGGGTGCTGGCTTCAGATTCCTTCTCCTCCTCGATGCTGCAGGTGGCTCCATTGATCTGCCGGGAAAGCAACATCAGCTCCAGGCTGTGCTCAGCCACAGGGGTGGGCAGCACGCTGTCTGCAGGGCTGTAGGCCTCGTCTGCAATCACAGCTACTCGCTCATTGCTATCTGTCCGGCTGCTTCTCACGTGAGGCAGGAAGGTGTCCCCATGGGAAGAGGAACGCACTGGCGTGGAATGGGCACTGTCCCGTAGGGACTCTAGGCCTAGAAAGGCAAAAGGAACATGACTAGGCTGTGTCCCAATGCACCCTTTGCTTTCCAGTGGCACCCACTGTGTTTTATTGGGTACCATTCTGCACACCCACATGACCAGCAGCAGTAGCCGCTGCACTCTATTTCGATATATCAAGAAGATGACAGCCTGGGCGTGATGGCTCACGCCTGTAATCTCAGCACTTTGGGAGGCCAAGGTGGGTGGACTGCTTGAGATCAGGAGTTCCAGACCAGCCTGGCCAACGTGGTGAAACCCCATCTCAAGTAAAAATACAAAATTAGGTGTGGTGGCACATGCCTGTAATCCCAGCTACTTGGGAGGCTGAGGCAGGAGAATCGCTTGAACCTGGGAGGCGGAGGTTGCAGTGAGCTGAGATTGCACCATTACACTCCATCCTCGGCAACAGAGTGAGTGAGACTCCATGTTAAAAAAAAAAAAAAAAAAAAAAGGCTGGGCACCATGGCTCACGCCTGTAATCCCAGCACTTTAGGAGGCCGAGGCAGGCGGATCACGAGGTAAGGAGTTCGAGACCAGCCTGGCCAACATGGTGAAACCCCGTCTCTACTAAAAATACAAAAATTTGTATTTGTGTGGTGGCGGGCGCCTGTAATCCCAGCTACTCGGGAGGCTGAGGCAGAAGAACTTCTTGAACTCGGGAGGCAGAGGTTGCAGTGAGCAGAGATCGTGCCACTGCACTCCAGCCTGGGCAACAGAGCAAGATTCTGCCTTGGGGTGGGGAGGAAGCCAGGTGTGGTAGTGCATGCCTGTTGTCCCAGTTACTTTGTAGGTGGGTGGGTTGCTTGAGGCTGGGAGGTCAAAGCTGCAGTGAACCAAGATCACACCACTGCATTCCAGCCTAAGCAACAGAGCAAGACTGTCTCATATATATATATAAAATATATATATATTTTTGTATACTATATTATATATAATATATACTATATATACTACATATAAAATATATATCATGTATATATGATATATATGATATATATAAAATATATGTATGAAACAAGAGGAGCCACAGAAATCACAGTGACCATTTTAGAAAAGTATTTCTTTGCTTTTTGCTTATGGTTTTGGCCTAATTTGTGTGTGCGTGTGGTTTTTTTTTTGAGACGGAGTCTTACTCTGTTGCCCAGGTTGGAATGCAGTGGTGCAATCTTGGCTCACTACAGCCTCTGCCTCCTGGGTTCAAGCGATTCTCGTGTTTCAGCCTTCTGAGTGGCTGGGATTACAGGTGTCTGCCACCATGCCTGGCTAATTTTTTGTATTTTGAGTAGAGATGGGGTTTGGCATTTTGGCCATGCTGGTCTAGAATGCCTGGCCTCCAAAAGTGCTAGGATTATAGGCATGAGCCACCACACCCAGCCCCTAATTTCTTAAAGATTCTGCCTTCCTTGCCTTTAGTGTCCTAGGCCTGGTTTTTACCCCAATTGAATTCCAAACTACCCGATGCAGAGCTGGCACCACGGTTTGAGTCTCAAGTATGCCTATCAGGTGGAAGGCTTTAAGAGGCAGGAATGGGCCAGACGCGATGGCTCCCATCTGTAATCCCAGCACTTTGGGAGGCCAAGGCGGGTGGATCACTTGAGCCAAAGGGTTCAAGACCAGGCTGGGCAACATAGCGAGACACTGTAACTATAAACTTTTAACAAAAGAGAAGTAGGAATGGGGAGAAGGAGAATGTCTTGCCTAACTGGGTTCCATCAAATACTGAGTATCCTTGTAAAAATCCAGCATCAGCATATAGCATCTTGAGCTCATAAGGTCAAAATTTTTGGATTTCTGCAGCTGCTCTCAGTCTCTTCAGCCTCCGTTCTAGCTGTTCTGACCTTGTGGAATGATGGGGTAGAAACTCTCTCTGCTCTTCTTGAGGGGGCATGGGAGTAGTCCCTGGCCAGCTCCCTCTTTTCCCCTGAGAAGGAGCTGGGTCTAGGATAGGCTGAAAAGCTCCCCTATCTTTAGGCCCTTCAGAGCACAAAACGGTTTCTGAGAAGATCTTGTTGGGTCGGTGAGGGGTGGGTGGGTGGATTTCTCTTACATTTGGTAGGAGAAAGGGGTATTCTATCCCCTAAAACTACCCATTATCTCTTCTCTCTTTCCAAGGTTCTCACAGGACTCAAGCCCTGGCAGGGAAAACTAGCTGGTTACACTCTCAACTGAAGAGCAGCTACCCAGGCCAGAGGCTTTGGGCATACAGTGAGTGAGTGTGGCCCACATCACAGTGCTCCCAAGGACATGGCTTCTTGTTTTAGGCTCAACGTCTACATTTTGCACTCCTGGCCATCTTGGTGGTGCTGGTGTGGTTCTCTCTGCCTTTGTGACCTATGACAAGAAAAGCCAGTCCCTTTCTGTTGCCCTGAAATAGTCCCTGACAATCCCAGACTGAACCAGATTCCTAGCTCAGTAAAGGTTTTACCTAAGTCAGGCTGATTAGGGAGTTTTTTGGTTCAGGGCTAGCTCCAGATGCCCAAAGCTGTCTTTTTTCCCCTTCTCCCAGGACACAAAGCAGTCCAAAGGTCTCTCTTAAAAAGGTGTTAGTAACCTTTCAGAAGCAGTGTGTCCATCTTCCTTGGCTCCCTCATGGCTTGACCATTTGCACCCAGGCAGCCTGCTTGACCAGCCTGGTGGAGCCTGTCTTGGCACAGGCACAGTTAAGGATTCTCCAGAGGAATAAGCCCTGGAATCTGGGCTATGAATGAGTAGGACAAGGGAGAGAGGGGGTGGGGGCAAAGGCAGGGCACCTGCCATCCAGTTACGCCTTCCATTGCCTCACGGCTCATACATTTGCCACAGTTCTCAATCTCTGCTTTCAGAAGCTCCTCATAGTCCTAGCTGTCCCTGTGCTAAAATCTTAAATTTGTATAATGCTTTCAACTTTTTAAAGCCCTTTCATTTTATCTTTCAGTAACTCCACAAGGTAGTGTGGGCAAGGGGTTACCTGAAGTCATGTGGTTGGTGGTTAATGGCAAAACCAAGGATAGAATCCAAGGCACTTTCTAGTTCATGATCCTGCTGATCATATCCATTAAGTCCTCACGTTGTCAACAGGCTCCTGGAAACCATGACTTTAAGCCAAATGTTACAGCAGGTCCTCCAATGTTTTCTTCAGCATCATTTTGTTATAATTTTGAAAAAGTTTTTTAGTTTTTTGAGACAGTCTTCCTCCATTGCCTAGACTGGAGTGCAGTAGTGCAATCATAGCTCACTGCAGCCTCGACCTCCCAGGCTCAGGTGATCCTCCCACCTCAGCCTCCTGAGTAGCTGGGACTACAGGCATGTGCCACCATGCCTAGCTAATTTTTGTATCTTTTTGTAGAGACAGGTTTTTGTGCTGGGATTATAGATGTGAGCCACCACGCCCAGCCCCATTTTGTTATAATGTTGATGAGGAAAACAGAAGTTTCATTGTACATCATTTTGCTTAAAGTTGCAGTTTCTAAGACCCTATCAACGATGTTAAGTGACGACTTAACTGTAGTCGGATTCCATGGAATGGAACCATGGGCCAGGATGGATTAAATCAACAGCCAGCATCTACCTTAGATTTAGGTCTTAATTGCCCAGGAAACTTTTTTGAAATAACCTGAAATTAGGAGCCTCTGTCCCTTGTTCTAGAGCTCTTGCTGTTCCTTTGACCTCTCTCTTACCCAGTATTCCTCCCTGATGTCCCCATTTGCACATGCAGCTTGAGGAATAGGTACCTGGGAACAGGTTATGGGTCACTGATAAGGCAGAAACCTTAAGGCCCTGGTTGCAGCATATTGCTGGCTTGGCTCCTTTCCCAGGCAGTCCTCTGCCCCCCTTTTCCTGGAACCTCGGCCCCATTGCACAGGGCACCTGCCACCCTTTCAAAGGCCTGCCCCTTCACGAGGACAGCTCTGACTGCAAGATCTTTCAAAGTAGAAAAGCTTAGCTTAACCTACGATTACGTGCCCTCAGCTTGTGGGGAAGGAGAGAGGCGGATGCTGTGACATCAGAAGAGAAAAAGTCAGAGGACCACCTGGAGCCACATCATACTGGGAGCTGTTGGTGCTCTCATTAAACAAGGTAATGGATAGACAGGCATTTCTTTTTCTTTTTTTTGAGATGGAATCTCACTCCATCGTCCAGGCTGGAGTGCAATGGCGCAATCTCCGCTCACTGCAGCCTCCACCTCCTGGGTTCAAGCGATTCTCCCACCTCAGCCCCGCGAATATCTGGGATTACAGGCACCCGCCACCACGCCCGGCTAATTTTTGTATTTTTAGTAGAGACGGGTTTCACCACGTTGGCCAGGCTGGTCTCATCTCCTGACCTCAAGTGATCTGCCCACCTCGGCCTCCCAAAGTGCTGGGATTACAGGCATGAGCCACTGCATCCAATTAAATATGCATTTCTAGTAGAAATGTCTGACAAATACAGTTGCTCAGTAAATATCAGTTGGTCTCCTCCCTCAATAGATCTCACCTGTAAGGTGACCCTCCCACATCAGGTTAGTCCTATATTAGAAACTGTTTTCACTGCTGTAAAAGCCACCGCCTGTCCTGCCGTTTCACCGACCCTTTGATTTTGGGATAGATGGGATGGGTGCTGTGGGAAGGATCTGTGCTAAGTGGCACAGCAAAGCAGGAGAGTCTTTTTTACCTTGGAAGTGCTCCAGCTGATTCCCTTGCCCGGGGGTCACAGCAGTCAGGACCCTACCCTGGAGCCGGGGCCCCATCCTCAGGATGCGCACACTTAGGGGCCGAAAGCAGTGATTAGTCAGCCGGAGCTGAACCCGGACTCTGGTGTGAATCTTAATCAGACTCTTCCCCATGGCGGCCCAGGAAGGCAAATACTTCTTCAGTGGAAACCAGCTGATTACTTCAGAGAAACCAGCCAGGCAGGGAAAGATACAGAGAGGGAAAGACGGAACGCCAACTAGGAACAAAGGATTTCCGCAGATCCCACACCATAGCAGCCCCTTAGCAGTGCCTTGCGTGCTGCAGGAAGAAGGTCACCTCCCCAAGCTTCAGATCAGGCTGAACTGCAGGGAAAGAGCAGCTCTGAGAGGCCACCGTTATCAGGGGACTGGATTTAGTCAGAAGCACTTACAGCCATAAAAAGTAATGCTTCCTTGGCCTGCAGCTCTTTCCCTGAGGCCTGGATAAGGGCTCCAACCTCTCAGAGGGCCAGGGACAGAGGGGGCAGAGAACAATCCCAGAGGGTAAGGGGAATCAAGACTGTCCCAGAAAATCCAGGATGTAAAGTTACAACACCATTGGGCTTTATCCAGGCCATATATAATCCAGGCCTGCCCTGGTGCCAGCCAAGTTGCATGGTCAGCGCTACCTTTGGGGCTGGGTGGCTCTGAAGTGGGAGGAGGTGGTCTCTGTGATACTAAATGGGCCAAATGGACTATAGAAAAGACAGTCTTTGGTGGAGCATGAACCAATTTCAAATGCCCATAAATTCCTTGGGGTTTTTGTTGGTTGTGCCCTTCTTCTGAGGCCCTCATCACATCCCTCGCAGCCCCTTCCTCCCTGGTTGGGGTGGGCAGTTAGGGTCAGCTGTGCTTGTCAGGACCTTTAAAGGCAAGCCCTCTTGAAAGATGTTGCATCTGAACTCTTGCCTCCTAGAAACTAATCCGTTCTTCCACAGGCTTGGTAACCCCTGTACTGATAAAGCCATTTAATTGCTACAATCTTTTATTTATTTCCACATCCAAACCGGATGTCATCTCCCTCTCCTCACTCTGAGCGTGTGAGGTTCATTTGGGCCAGGTCAGTTGTACTTGGCCTGTCCTGCATCTAATGGGTCCTGGGCTGGGGGCCATGACCAGGGCCACAGGCTGTGTTTGTCCACTGGCAGCCTTGGGCACAGGGTGTGAGAAGCACCTGGAAGTCTGCTAAGCTATAACCTACCAAGTGTGCCATTTTATGAGGCTGGTTTTGAGGAAGTGCCCCGGCCCTAGAGGGCCTATACTCCTCAGCAGCCTCTCCCCACTGTACCTCTCCTTGCATTTGACAACAAGGGGGAATAGTTTGGACAAGGAACCTGCTCCTGCAATGGGAGAAGAGAGGCTCTGGGAGGAGGAGGAGGCTGGAGGTAAAGCCAGAGCTGAATGGGGAACTTAGGCAGCCTCAGCATGTCTCAGGATCACAAGGACTGTTTTCCCTGCCTCTTGAGCATTTGCACATGCAGCTTGAGGAATAGGTACCTGGGAACAGGTTATGGGTCACTGATAAGGCAGAAACCTTAAGGCCCTGGTTGCAGCATATTGCTGGCTTGGCTCCTTTCCCAGGCAGTCCTCTGCCCCCCTTTTCCTGGAACCTCGGCCCCATTGCACAGGGCACCTGCCACCCTTTCAAAGGCCTGCCCCTTCACGAGGACAGCTCTGACTGCAAGATCTTTCAAAGTAGAAAAGCTTAGCTTAACCTACGATTACGTGCCCTCAGCTTGTGGGGAAGGAGAGAGGCGGATGCTGTGACATCAGAAGAGAAAAAGTCAGAGGACCACCTGGAGCCACATCATACTGGGAGCTGTTGGTGCTCTCATTAAACAAGGTAATGGATAGACAGGCATTTCTTTTTCTTTTTTTTAGATGCAATCTCACTCCATCGTCCAGGCTGGAGTGCAATGGCGCAATCTCCGCTCACTGCAGCCTCCACCTCCTGGGTTCAAGCGATTCTCCCACCTCAGCCCCGCGAATATCTGGGATTACAGGCACCCGCCACCACGCCCGGCTAATTTTTGTATTTTTAGTAGAGACGGGGTTTCACCACGTTGGCCAGGCTGGTCTCATCTCCTGACCTCAAGTGATCTGCCCACCTCGGCCTCCCAAAGTGCTGGGATTACAGGCATGAGCCACTGCATCCAATTAAATATGCATTTCTAGTAGAAATGTCTGACAAATACAGTTGCTCAGTAAATATCAGTTGGTCTCCTCCCTCAATAGATCTCACCTGTAAGGTGACCCTCCCACATCAGGTTAGTCCTATATTAGAAACTGTTTTCACTGCTGTAAAAGCCACCGCCTGTCCTGCCGTTTCACCGACCCTTTGATTTTGGGATAGATGGGATGGGTGCTGTGGGAAGGATCTGTGCTAAGTGGCACAGCAAAGCAGGAGAGTCTTTTTTACCTTGGAAGTGCTCCAGCTGATTCCCTTGCCCGGGGGTCACAGCAGTCAGGACCCTACCCTGGAGCCGGGGCCCCATCCTCAGGATGCGCACACTTAGGGGCCGAAAGCAGTGATTAGTCAGCCGGAGCTGAACCCGGACTCTGGTGTGAATCTTAATCAGACTCTTCCCCATGGCGGCCCAGGAAGGCAAATACTTCTTCAGTGGAAACCAGCTGATTACTTCAGAGAAACCAGCCAGGCAGGGAAAGATACAGAGAGGGAAAGACGGAACGCCAACTAGGAACAAAGGATTTCCGCAGATCCCACACCATAGCAGCCCCTTAGCAGTGCCTTGCGTGCTGCAGGAAGAAGGTCACCTCCCCAAGCTTCAGATCAGGCTGAACTGCAGGGAAAGAGCAGCTCTGAGAGGCCACCGTTATCAGGGGACTGGATTTAGTCAGAAGCACTTACAGCCATAAAAAGTAATGCTTCCTTGGCCTGCAGCTCTTTCCCTGAGGCCTGGATAAGGGCTCCAACCTCTCAGAGGGCCAGGGACAGAGGGGGCAGAGAACAATCCCAGAGGGTAAGGGGAATCAAGACTGTCCCAGAAAATCCAGGATGTAAAGTTACAACACCATTGGGCTTTATCCAGGCCATATATAATCCAGGCCTGCCCTGGTGCCAGCCAAGTTGCATGGTCAGCGCTACCTTTGGGGCTGGGTGGCTCTGAAGTGGGAGGAGGTGGTCTCTGTGATACTAAATGGGCCAAATGGACTATAGAAAAGACAGTCTTTGGTGGAGCATGAACCAATTTCAAATGCCCATAAATTCCTTGGGGTTTTTGTTGGTTGTGCCCTTCTTCTGAGGCCCTCATCACATCCCTCGCAGCCCCTTCCTCCCTGGTTGGGGTGGGCAGTTAGGGTCAGCTGTGCTTGTCAGGACCTTTAAAGGCAAGCCCTCTTGAAAGATGTTGCATCTGAACTCTTGCCTCCTAGAAACTAATCCGTTCTTCCACAGGCTTGGTAACCCCTGTACTGATAAAGCCATTTAATTGCTACAATCTTTTATTTATTTCCACATCCAAACCGGATGTCATCTCCCTCTCCTCACTCTGAGCGTGTGAGGTTCATTTGGGCCAGGTCAGTTGTACTTGGCCTGTCCTGCATCTAATGGGTCCTGGGCTGGGGGCCATGACCAGGGCCACAGGCTGTGTTTGTCCACTGGCAGCCTTGGGCACAGGGTGTGAGAAGCACCTGGAAGTCTGCTAAGCTATAACCTACCAAGTGTGCCATTTTATGAGGCTGGTTTTGAGGAAGTGCCCCGGCCCTAGAGGGCCTATACTCCTCAGCAGCCTCTCCCCACTGTACCTCTCCTTGCATTTGACAACAAGGGGGAATAGTTTGGACAAGGAACCTGCTCCTGCAATGGGAGAAGAGAGGCTCTGGGAGGAGGAGGAGGCTGGAGGTAAAGCCAGAGCTGAATGGGGAACTTAGGCAGCCTCAGCATGTCTCAGGATCACAAGGACTGTTTTCCCTGCCTCTTGAGTTGTTCTACTAACCCTACTTGGCAGCAGCTCTCAATGAGTTTTGTCTACACAGAGAGCCTCTGCCCTCCGTCTTTTGGGAATGCTGGTTTCCTGGACATTCTTCCCTGTTCTGGGAAGTCGGCTTGCACAAGGCTCCTCCTGTTTTAATCCTGCATGGTGCTGGCTTCCCTAGGGTGAGCCTTCTGTTCGGGAGGACAGCTGTCCCAGCTCTGTGGAAGACTTGGGATGGACCGTCTAGCTTCAGCCTCAGGAGGGATGGAAAGAAAGGCCACAGAGGGGAGAAAGTTATGTTTCCTCAAAGAGAAGTTCATTCTACTTCCTGAGATGTACACCCCAAAAGAGGGACAGTGAGAGCCAAGCTCAGTTCTCCGGGTCAGCCTAAGATGGGAGGAAACACCAGGAGGCTGTGTCTGATGATGGTCATGTATCCATAATTCCATTCTTTGCATAATGATTCTACTTGGTAGTCCACACTCTCCCGCACTCAGCTCTGTTCTGCAGTGGGGGCACTAGGCTCAGAGAGAAAACAACCTGTTTCAGAAGGTGCATGGCAGAGCTCCTAGTCACACCTTGGCTTCCTGACCAGGATTCTGCACTGTGCTTGCTGCCTGCCTGTAAACGCTTTAGTCTCTTTAAAGTACTTCTGCACATATTAGCTTCCTTGCAACCAATGGAGTGGGCAAGGAAGATGTCCCTGTTTTACAAATGGAGCATTGAAGATACTCAAGTAACTTGACGGTGTTTGTCTAGCCGGGGTTCTCAACCTCTAGACCGTAGGGAGTTACATACCAGACTCTGGTAACATGGAATCTCACACAGTGACACGTCCTAAAATCCTAAACACAAATTAGATCTCAGGGAAACAGGAGAGTGATATCCTTCCTAACCTGAGCATTTTCATTCCCAAGCAGCATTCTTACAGAAAAGGCAAAGGGCTGTCCCCACCAGCTTCTACACCGTTAATCCCAGGAGAGAGACAGGTATGAACCAATCCTTCTGTCTCCTGCTGTGTGAGATCTTCTGAGGTCCCCCCAAAAACACCATCTTTGGGAATGAAAGCACTCAACTTTAACCTGTATCCAGCCTGCGGGTGACCTGGGCCAGTGACAACAGCTAGAGGGCAGTATTCCGGGAGCACCTCCTAACAGCATTAACTACCCAGAGAACAGATTGTTGGCCTCAGCTACTGGGGTATCTAGTTCAGTGGAGATACACAGAATTTCTCTCTCTCCCCACCTCCGCCGCCTCCAAAGGAAGGGAGTCTGGAGGGAGATGGGTCATATTGGATTTCCTGAGACAGTGGTAAGATATGCAGATAGCAACAGGACAAATTGCTTTTTTTTTTTTTTTGAGACGGAGTCTTAACTCTGTTGTCCAGGCTGGAGTGCAGTGGCACAATCTTGGCTCACTGCAACCTCTGCCTCCTGGGTTCAAGCGATCCTCTTGCCTCAACCTCCCAAGTAGCTGGGATTACAGGCGTGCATCACCACACCCAATTTTTGTATTTTTAGTAGAGACGGGGTTTCACCATGTTGGCCAGGCTGGTCTCAAACTACTGACCTCAGGTGATCCACCTGTCTCGGCCTCCCAGAATGCTGGGATTACGGGCATGAACCACTGTGCCCAGCCAACAGGACAGATTTCTATAGCTGAAGCAAAACATGGTGGGTGACAGCTACTAGAAATGCTTCAGATTCAAGAATTTTCACTTATTGGTTAATAGTCTCAGCCATCCTGATAATTTAAGCTGTGGAGATTGGTCAGATTTAGCAAACAAGTGAAAACCCTCTTTTTTTTTTTTCTTGAGACGGAGTCTCTGTCACCCAGGCTGGAGTGCAGTGGTGCAATCTGGGCTCACTGCAGCCTCCACCTCTGCCTTCTGGGTTCAAGCAATTCTCCCACCTCAGCCTCCCTAGTAGCTGGGATTACAGGCTTGTAATTTTTAGTAGAGAAGGGGTTTCACCATGTTGGCCAGGCTGTTCTCAAACTCCTGACCTGAAGTGAGCCTCCCAAAGTGCTGGGATTACAGGTGTGAGCCACTGCGCCAGCCCCCTTTTAAAACTTTTTTTTTTTTTGACAGTCTCCTTTACCCAGGCTGGAGAGCAGTGGCGTGAACTCAGCTCACTGCAACCTCTGCCTCCCAGGCTCAAGCGAGTCTCCTACCTCAGCCTCACGAGTAGCTGGGATTACAGTCATGCGTCAGCACACCCAGCTAATTTTTGTATTTTTAGTAGACAGGGTTTCACCATTTTGGCCAGGCTAGTCTTGAACTCCGGACCTCAAGTGATCCACCCATCTAGGCCTCCCAACAGTACTGAGACTACAGGCATGAGCCACCATGCCAGGCGTGAAAAGCCTCTTGATGGAAAGCAATTTCATAACTGCATGGAACCTTTAAATCCCACATATGCAGGTCCTCCAAAGGGCTAACCCAGCACCCTCAAATCCACAACCCCCCTGCCTAGATACCCGCACCCCTTCACCCTGTACCCAGCTAGTATTCCCATCCGCTGGATAAAACCTCCTACTTGCCACTGGAGACCCTTTTCCCCAAGAGACATGCTGCTGTCACTAATGTAAATTAGCCTCTTTTCAAAGTCCTTTTCAAGGTCCCAGATCACAACTTGGAGGACCCCAGTGGTCACCTCAAGGAGCTCATGCTCACCTTCCATGATGGAGATGTGAACGGCTCTTCTGCGGGTCCTGGGGACGCTGCTCAGCCTTGGGCCATGGGTTATGGAGGGACAGCTCCGGCTGGGAACCATCCCTGCTCTGAGATTAAAGAACCTTGTTAATTCAATGCATGGACACATTTAGTAGGCACTTAAGAGCTGAGTACTGGCTACTAGAATTGCCTGGCTGTATTAAGTGTTGGTCTCTCTTTTTAAAAATCTTTAATACCTTCTCTTTGCCTTTGGTCCCTGGATTCCAGTCAGAGATAGTGCTTCAAACTCCTCCACTTCCTTGTAAGCCTAGACCAATCTGAACCTTTTTCTTTTAGTGTGGCAGCGGTGCCACTGGTCTCAGGGGTGGGGGCAAGACGGTCAGAGAGTAGAGCCCCAGGATGAGCAGTACTCCTGAAGATATGCCTGGACCAATACTGGCAGCCTCCCCTGACTTCCAGTACAGGCTGCGGATGACGGGGCTCCATGTGAAGGGGTAGGCAGTCATGCTCCCATTCCCAGAGGCAAAGGCTGGTTGGCAAGTCCTACCCTTCTTGGTCAGTCATATTCTTTCTGGGTCTTAGATTCTAGGAAATAGGCTTCTGGAAACATGATTTGTGGATCTACATGAAGCATGGATCCTGAAACTGTTTTAGAGCCACTGTGGCAGGGCTGTGGGACTATCCTTGGCTTCATGTAATCGACTGGTTCCAGAACCACTGAAATTGTGTGACATATCTATCATCAATGTCAAGACTTGGGAGGGCAGAAGAGAACTGCCAAGTGAAGCGGCACCTGGATCTGATGTACTATCTGCAGTAGCCCTCCCTCCCCTGCTCTCTTATTAAGGGTCAAAGACTTTTCCCCATCCCTTCTGAGAAGTTTCTTCAGCCTTCTGCCTTATTTTGGACCTTTTGGTAGCCACTGGAGCCAGGGGCTTCACAGTACTCAAACTGCTGGATTGAGATTCTGGGATCTGAGATAGAACTGTTTTGGGGGAAGCCCCTGGCAGCCTACCTGTGTATTTCCGGTGGCTCCCGTTTGATCTTAGCACTTGACTCCATGACTTCCTTTGCAACTCGGCCGCTGTAAGTAGTATAATAAAAACAAGTGGCAAGAAATGAGACTGTGTTCCAGGACAGCTCCTCTCCAAGATCTCAGGTGCTTTCCCTGAATCAGGAAATGGCATCTGTGGCCCACCCTTTCCACGATGTTTTGGTCACAGAGAAAGGCTTGCTTGCTGGGGTACAGAGTTCCTAAGTGTCATGACAGCCTATCTGAGAGAGAGCTCTCTCCATCTCTAGAGTCTTTAGGATCTTCCATTCTATTTAGGAATAATTCCTCAATTTCCAGCATGTTCCAATTACATCACAAAAAAATACATAAGAACAATCTTTAGACAGTGAGACATGAAAAGAATCACTGTTACAGTTCTTATTTTGCTGCTATTGTAAGGGAAAGAGAAGATACACATTTATTTTTCATTTTCTTGGAGACAAGATTTTGCTCTGTCTCCCAGGCTGGTGTGCGGAGGTGCAATCATGGCTCACTGCAGCCTCGACCTCCTGAGCTCAAGCGATTCTCCCACCTCAGCCTCCCAAGTAGCTGGGACTATAGGCACGTGCCACCACACCCAGCTAATTTTTTTTTTTTTTTTGGTATTTTTAGTAGAGATGGGGTTTCATCATGTTGCCCAGGCTGGTTTCAAACTCCTGGCCTCAAGTAATCCACCTGCCTCAGCCTCCCAAAGTGCTGGGATTATAGGCATGAGCCACTGTGGCCGGCCGATATACATTTAAAACCCTACAGACAAATAGCTGTAGGGAAGGAAGGAAATAAAGGGTCATAAGACAGGAGAATTGGATGGAGACCTCAGACTTTTCTGAGTCCTCCCCAGTTTCTCTGTTCTAAAGGATAAGGACCACTGAGTGTTCTCCAGAGAAGGGTCTCAAAATAGATCCATAATGGTTACTTACTGTCACTATTTACCTGTATCGGAACCGGCTCCCTTTAAAGAATAAATTGCTGCTGGACACTGTGCGGACTTGGCTTGACTTCTCCAGCCTGCAGCAAGGCAAAGTCCAGTGTGATAGACAGCCTGAACTGCCTCACACAGGCTAAGGCAGCACATCCCCAGCTTCTTCCAGAGGCTACTTGAAACGTCAGGAAAAAAGCCCTTCGTAGTCCACACTTGTCTCTGACTCTCACTATCCTAGGATCTGGGGGCTGTGCTCACAGCCAGCTGCCTTCCTGCCTCAGTGCCCAGGACTGTTGCATGGAAACCCATTTTTGTGTCAGGAGAGTGAAGGCTCCCCCAAAATGCTTCATAGGTTTTACCAGGGGGACTGAGAGAATACATGCTAGGGTGGATGGTCTGGGGGAATAATAGAATGCCACCCATCTAATCTCAGCCAGGTCACTTATTAGCAGTGTGACCTCAGGCAAATTTCCTTCTCTCTTAGCCTCACCCTTCTTATAAAATGATAGAGTTGGGACTACTGGACCTTAGGGGTCTCCTTTCTAGTCCCAGTATTTGATTTTGTGTCCATGTCTGGGTAATTGTGGGTAGAGAAGAGGATGGGGGCTGTCCTTCCTGTTCCATCTCCCTTTTGGAGGGTCCTAAAATACATGACCATGGTAAAGACTGAGAAATCCTGCGATGAAGAAACTAGCTTAATTTTAATAAAAGTTCCGTCATGTATTTGAATTTGGAGCCTTCCTCCCTCCCCCGGGATGTCTATTTAATATCTCGTTTGAAGCTGCAGACAGCTGATGTGGAGCTCTGTACTACTTTCTCCTGGGTGACTTCACTGAGCCCATTAACTCTCTCAGCTTGGGCACAGCAGCTCAGAGAGAAGCCTCCTAAGATGGGATTCACCTGTAAGATGCCCAGGTGCCTATGATACTGATCCAACCAGGAACCCATGTGGGTCTGAAACCTGTGCTATGAGCAGCGAGTAGGAGCTGTCTCCACAATCCATGAACAGTTCTTGGGAGACACCATCTCTGCCCGTCTCAGGGCTCCAGGACATCCGAGCTGCTTACTTTCCTGCCTGGGCATGCTGTTGCATCTGACTGGGCGCCTGCCAAGGCACTAGGCCAAAGGCAGGACTAGGGATCTGTATGTGAGAGACACTGAGGGCAAGGCCAAAGCGCTGCTGCCAGAGACTTGGCATACCTGGGGATCTGACCCAGGCTAGAGGCTTTTATCATTTAACGAGAACATCAAGGAGGCAATGGAAAACTGAAAAATGACTTCCGTTTCCAGTGTGGGTGCAGGCAGGGCTGGGTGGGTATGGAGATCTACTCGTGGGAAGACTCAGAAACCGGCTGTGGTCACAGGTTCAGAAGCACACGTCTGTTTCATGACACAGATGGGAAAACCAAGCCCTTAAGAAATGGTGCTGAAGGCATGAAAAGACAAGAGGCAAGGAGACTGCTTCCATTTGCATTAGACCCTTTGGCAGAGAGAAAGGGAACGCTTCCACATACGCCATTCCCAGGGCAGGGATAGCTCAGTGTGGAGTAGGCCCCTGTCTGCTAGTGCCTTCCTCTCTCTGCTGGGGAGACCCATGGAACCCTCGTCCTTCCTGGGCTGCTCCTCAGTCCCACAAGCAGGAGCTTGCATCTCAGATTGCTTCTCTCTAGGTTCAGGTAGCTGGCCAAACCTGGATTACATCCTCACAGGCAAAGGGACAGTGGTAGCAAAAGAAAATAAATGTTTTCTTGACTTTCTATGGATAGTAGGGACTGAACAGGAGGGAAGTGTGACCATGCCAAAGTCTCCCCTGAGTGTATTCAGGAGAAGAACTCACTGCCGATTCAGTGAATCCTTGATTCTGGTATAAACACATAACGAGTATTAAGCAATTCAGAATGCCTGTCTAAGAAACAGCCTCTGGGGCTGTGGCCCTGGCAACTGGGAGGACCCAGTTCTGCCAACCAGCATCCCATAGCAGCCAGCAGGCAGCAGAATCTTCCCTGGAGAGGAGCATGGTGCCACTCAGCCCAGAGCAGTTCTCATCTCTCCAGGATCCTTCAGGTTACTGGAACCGAGACCTGGCCTGTCAGGGGCATTTGGTGAGAGCAGGGCTCACCCCAGGTAGAATATACCACACACTGTCTTGCCTTGACCTCATTCAGATACGTCTTAGTAAAGCATAAATTATTATGGTATATTTTAAAAACAAGACCAAGGGGTTTAGTGAGACATACTTTACCTGGCATCACTCCCTCGATAGGCCATTTCTTCACTACCTCATGCTTTTATAACCACTTTCTTAATCGAATCGAAGAAAACAATACACAAGCCCCACATTCTTTACAAAATCCCTTTGGTAGGCAAAGCTCTGGCCTTTGGCCTCAACCTGGCTTCTCGGTAACTGTCAAGCTCTTGACCACTTCCAGCTACGCTGCCCCAGGCTCCTGGGCACTTGGCCTCCTGTCAGTGACTCTCTGTGACTCTGGCTTTAAGAAAGACAGTCCCCATCACATGTATCCACTCACTTGTAGAAGGCTTGGTTCTCGATTCCACATTTCCAGAGGTGCTTACATGCTTCAGGAGTTGGAGCAAAATATGTAAGAATAATCTTCTTTTCCTGCAAAAAATTCCACATTGATATGGCTGAGTGTAGATGGAGAAGCAAAGGGTGAAGTAGGCAAGGACCCTGACCCCAGAGCTGTTAGAGGCCCTGACAGCTGGCTAGTTAGAGGGGAGGGCCCGCGGGACCCACTGAGGCAGAGCTCAGTTCAGTGCATCACATCATACTTAGCAAGTCCAATCAGCGTAAGTCTCAGCTGGCACAAAAGTGGCACAAATTGAACCAGGAGAGCTCTTGGTGAGAAAGTACCCCTTGCCTCTGGAATTCCCATATACATGAAAGAAAAAGAGCCTTCCTTTGCACTTCCTGGAGGTAAAGATCTCTTGAGTGAAAGCTCTGGGTGTCAACAGCATCCCCGAGGAAGTCCTGTGCTCCAGGGCCTTCCCACTCCTTCATATTGTACCTGCAGGTCCTGACCTTGGTCTTGGCTTAGCATGTGGGTGGCTTGGCTCTACTGGGGTCCCTCAAGCTTGGCTCTGGCCACCAGGAAGCATCCCATCACCCCAGCCCTCCCTGAAGAGAAAGAAGCCAGCACTCACCTCTTTCTGACTTACGTATAAATAGAAAGTCTTTCCTTCAAATTTCAGCTTGGTCACCTCATTCCTAGAAGTACAAAGATAGTGCCTGTCACCTCATTGCAGGCTGCCTGTTCACAGCTAAATCTTGTAGATGCACAGCCCACCCCAACTGGAAGGGGCTCCAGGCACAGACACAATTTTAGCCAAAATCAGAACTGAAACAAGACAGCAGCGCAGTGGCCTTAGAGAACGTTGTTGAAACAGTTCAATCCACAGTTTTCTGGTCAATCACACTATAGTAATAGGGTGACAGGAGGATTTCGGGCTTATCAACAGTGGCTGTAAAAGGGAAACATTTGCATGGAAAGTGAGTCTAGGCAGAGTATCCAGGGCCATTTCAGGATTGGGTTCATAACACAGGTGCATTATCTGGATGGGACTGTCAAACGTAAGATGCCACAGGTAGCTGATGAGGCCAAAGTTCAAGATACAGCAAATAATGAGAAACAATGCAACCAGGTTCTGAGGGAGTTGAGTCTTTCAGGTGACTGTGCCACTGGATGGAAAATGCAGTTTAATGCAGACAGATGTCAAACAATCTCAGGGAGCGGGGCAGGGCAACATACCAAAGAGAGAGAACAGATTACATGGAACAGTCATGCAGCGTACTGACCAGGAAAGGGGCTTAGGGGTTATTGTAGAAAAATCCTTGAAGCCACCAGCCCAGTGAATGGCTGCAGTAAAAGAGGCAAACAGGATACTGGGGTACATCACCCGTGGGACAGACACAAATCAGAAGAAGTGACATGGTTACTGTACATGGCACGGCCTAGATCTCACCTCCACATCCACCTCCTGCTCTCAGCCTTGGTTACATTTGCAAAATGGAAAAACTACCAGGTCTTAGGCGAATGTCCCTGAGAGCCATGGCATTAGGCCTCCAGTACTGGTTGCTCCTCACTTCCCATGTACCTGCCCAACATAGCTGCCCTCTGGAACCTCTCAGCCCTCTCCATGTCACTGTCCCATTTTTCTACCCAACTGGGACCCCCAAGGTGGGCTTGTCATGCACATTCACCTCCATTGGCTGCTGCTTTTTTTGTGACTTCTAAGGAGATTTCCTTAATCTCCTAGGAAATAGTAGAAAGGTAGTGAGAATCATGTACCCAACTTACTACTGGAAAAAGTTCAGGGGACAGAGGAAAATCACTTGTTCTCTGTGCTCCTGAAAATCATGGCTGGTTCAGGATGAGATTTCACACCTTCTGACCACCAGTTCTGAGCTAACACAAGCCACATGGTAATCCTTCCCTTCTGATTCCCTCTCAAACTCCCTCTCAATCAACCATCAGTCTCACACACACACACAATACAATCAATGCCAATTGGCTAATATATAGACAAGCACACAGATCACCTAGGTTCCAACAAGCAGGCTAGGAAAGGAAGGAGTTTTATTTTGAGAGTGAGATTGGGCTTACATCTATTATTACAGAGTTGACACATGGTGACGAGGAGACTTCCAGAAGAAGTGGTGCATGAGAGAAGCCGTGGAAAGAAAAGCGTCTGTGAGAACCAAGAGCCATCATGGTTTCTGGAGGGGTGGGGATAATTTAGGGACTGCAGGTGTCTGTGACAGGTGTGTCCTACTTGTTTCTAGCCAAACACTTCCCCTGACAGGGACCTCACCCAGCAGCTACTCTGGTTGGAATGTGGATCTGGGCCCTGTAAGGAACATCGATAGCCCAGACGTTTCCAGGCAGCAGAGACCCCACACTAAGAGGGCTGTGGCCTGATCCTGCTCATTGTCTTTTTCTGAAAAGCATTTTGTTGGACAGGAGATTCCAAATCCTCACATATTCACCCAGAGAGCACAGTGAAGTGAGCCGACTTGAGGATGCCTAGGAAACAGGTATGTTGGGGTGTATTCTGCCAACTCCAGGGCAGCAGCTGCCTTGTGGCGTGGCTGTTGTCCTGGGGAGTCGAGGCCCCCCTGCATGTGTGACGAGCAGTTTCACCAGCACTCTGGCTGACGAACGTAATGCCCTCCCCTTCACAAAATCAAGATGGGCTGGAAAGGCGGTATCTGTCCTCAAGCTCAAGCTCAGTGGCCCAGCTGAAGAGGGCACAGCGGGATAGATGGCCTGCAGTGTCCCCAGCAGAACGCTGACTAGGAAGCAACTGTACCCAAGATTCCTCATGAGCTCTCCTGGAGAAAACAAACCAAACAGACTTCCCCCCACTGAGCTCTGCTGGACCAAGGGAAGCCACTTATCTAAGCCCCTCGGAGGAGCTGGTCAGCTTAGACTTGGCAGTCTGAGGCCCAGGAAGGTACAGAAATCACAGGAGCTTAGTAGAATATGCAAAATGTTTTGATGACGCTGACAGATGTTTGTATGGACTGGCCAGCTAAAGGGTCTCCAGGAGAACCAAACGTCAATCAATAAACCAGAGTCTGCCCAGAGGCATGCAGCAGAACAGACCCCAAACAAAACAGAGAGGGGCAGGAGAGGAAGCAGTTCAGAGTAGCTGCAGCTGAGGCAGTGGCTCTTGCCTGTTAGATGGGAATGGAGAGGGGAGAGAAGGAAGGAAGAGTGGGAATGTGACTCCTGGAGGCTGAGGACACTTAAATGCCCAAGAGGGATAGGAGTGAGACAGCAGCAACTAAGCTTTTGCAGACACAATGCCCACAGTGAGGGCTGGTCTGAGGAGGGTGTTTTGCCAAAGTAACAGGGGACTTATATCTGCCCCAGAGGTCACTGTCTGTGAGCCTCTCCCTTGTTAGTAGAGCAGGTAAGGGCACTAAGCCATCCACAGAGATGCTCCAGAACAGCCGGCTCAACAGGGCTGATTACGACCCTTAGTGGGTGACGGCCCCAAGGACTCAGTTCTCACAGGAACTTGGCTCCACTTACACTGGCTCCAGCCCCAGGCCTCTCACCCTCCCCAGAAATCAAACCATTGTATCCCTTTTCCTTTCTGGAGAGGCTGCTGGCTCTCAGGGACACCCCTTTAGAAGAACAGGATCCCTAGGAAGAGGCCACTCCCTGCATCAGTTACCACACTATCAACACAAGGCTTTGGGGAGGGCTCTGAACCAGAACTGCCCAATCACGGACAAAGGACATGGGAACCATCGCCCCTCCCCAGCTGGTGAGATACAAAGAGCCTGTTTTGGAAATGAAGACGCTCACCATTTAATGAAGTGGACCCTCTTGTTTCCTTGAAGAACAACAAACCCAAAAGGAGTGAAGGCCAGAAATGCAGCATTTCCTGACACGTCCTGCAACACAGAAAGACTTCTCATCGGGTGATGCAGGCACAGAGGTCAAAGGGTAAGAAACACAGCTGTTCATAGGTGATGCAGGGTTCATACTTGGCAGTAGGTCACAGAGGGAAAAGCATGTCCTCTGGAATCACAAGACCATAGTCTGAGTCTCAGCCTTGCCACTTGCCAGTTACACGACTACAAGCAAGTTACCTGCTGAGCCTCAGTGTCCTGATCTGTAAGTTGTAGATTATAATGATACCAACCTTAGAAGGTTGCTGTGAACATCCAAAGAGAATGGCAACACCTCATGCATTGCTGATGGGGTTGTAAAATGGTACAGTCACTTTGAGAGAGTTTGAAAGTCATTTAAATTGTTAAAAATCGAGTTACCACATGACCCAGCAATTCCACTCCTCAGTGTGTGCTCAGAGAATTAAAACTGCATGTCCACACAGAAACTGGTGCATGGATGTTAATAGCAGCAATATGTGTTAAGAGCTAAACAGTAGAAACAATCCGATCCATCTTCCAGTGTAAAGTTTCCATTAACTGATACATGAATAAACAAGTAGTATATTGTGATACAGTAGAATCTCATTCACCAGTAAAAAGGAATGAAGTACGGACAGATGCTACAACACAGGCGAACCTTGAAAACACTGTGCCAAGTGAAAGAAGCCAGTCACAAAAAATCAGGTTGTGATCTTTTAACTCTGAATATACTAAAAACCACTGAATTGTACACTTTAAAAGGGCACATTTGGCCGGGTGCGGTGGCTCACGCCTATAATCCCAGCACTTTGGGAGGCTGAGGCGGGTGGATCACCTGAGGTCAGGAGTTTGAGATCGGCCTGGCCAGCATGGTGAAACTCTGTCTCTACTAAAAAGACAAAAATTAGCCAGGCGTGGTGGCGGGCACCTGTAATCCCAGCTACTCAGGAGGCTGAGACAGGAGAATTGCTTGAACCCAGGAGGTGGAGGTTGCAGTGAGCCAAGATTGCAGCAGTACACTCCAGCCTGGGCGACAGAGTGAGACTCCATCTGAAAAGAACAAAACAAACAAACAAACAAAAACGTTTTATGGTATGTGAATTATATCTTAAAAGGCTGTCATTAAAGAGTGGGGGAGTTGTTATCTACATTCATAACAGTCCTATAACACTGGGCCCCTCAGGAAAGTTTAGCTGAAGAAAAAAATAAGAAGCAACTGGCAAAATAGAACAGTTGCCATCAGCCCTGAGGTGCCTGAACCAACAGAGAGGGCCTCCTGGTCACTGGCACCATCAGTCGGTAAACACCAGGCTTGAGGCTCTGTTGAGCACAGTGGGGAGGGGATGGAGCAGAAGCTGCGGGTCTCACTTCCTCACGGGGGATTGACTCTGTGAGGACTAGGGGCTGGGTGGAGGATTTTGCCCTCCCAGAGGGGCCTCCTTTGTGACAGGGGCGTCAGGTGAGATTTGGCGCCGTCAGGCTGCCAATGGCAATGGAGAGGGTGTAAGTGTGTTGAGGTGACCAGAAACTTGTGCCGTGATGCTGGTCAAATATGCCTGCGGGAGAGTCTTCTGGGCCACAGCTCAAGTGGTGCCATGGAGTCAGGGCGTGAGTCACCGAGCGTGAGGCATGGGTGTCGGGGCTGAGGCTGCCAGGCCAGGTCGGCCTGGGGTTTGGCTCTCCTGGCCTCTCCACGTTCAGGGCTCACCTCTCTGGCACAGATTCTCTGCCTGATTAGTCCTAAGAACAGTGGGGCCTCTGCAGGGCCTCATGAGTCCTGCCTCAAGAAGCAGTCCAGTTCTGCCTTAAAACTCTCTCTCAGAGTCAGGGTTACAAGTATGAGCATCTGGGTCCAGGGAATAAACTAAGTATATGTTTGGCAAACACTTGCAATTAATGTAATGTTGTTATTGTCCTTTCCTTAGGGTCTGTCATGATCCAGACACTTGGCTACAAGCATAATGTCATGGGCACAACAAAAAGCTGTTTAAAAATAACTGGAATGCAGACACTGTGAAGCCACAGGGCTGGATTTCCTCCTGCTTGTCATCAGTGCCTGGTGGTGGTTATTAATATCTGAGTACCAGGCACTGCACACAAACACTGTTCCTGCCAGGAGGCACCAGGGCTAACCTGGCAGGCTTGGCAGAGGTATGGGTCAGGGAAGGGTGGCCTTGAGGGGAGAATGACTGGGAGAAGTGGGGGAGGGAGGCAGCCTGCCTGCTCTGCCTCTTCTGCTCCCTGTGTAAGCAGGACCCAGGGAAGTCCTACAATTGCAGGCTTAGAAAGACAGAGACAGAGAGTGGAGACCTTATTGTGTGAATGGTGGTGGAGAAAGGGCCTGCAGAAAATTTTGAGCAGATGAAGGTGTGAGACAGTGGGGTGGGTCAGAGGGGCCAGTCTGGCTGCAGTGGGGAATGTCCGTATGTGTGTAAAAATGAGAGGGGAGCAGAGGTGGGGCAGAGGCACGGAGGGGGTCATAATGCTTGCTGAGATAGAGGAAAGACCTACAAAGGAGAGGTGGAGGGATGGAAATGAAGCCTTGGGCCTGCAGGAGGCTACTAGACAGTTTGAAATAACAGGGAAAGAAGTAGGGAAGGGAGGTGGGGGGAAGGCAGGGGAGGGAGGCAGCAGAGGGCCCCCCTCTGCTTCTTTCACTTTGGCTCATATGGGCAGTGACAGGCGGAAGAGCACCCCCACTAGAACCACAGTGGTGCGGGCTCTGGGTCAAACCGCTTGGGTCCAGGTCCGGCTCTGCCACTCACTGTGTGACTGTGGCCAGGTCCTTAGTTTCTCCATGGTCAGACTCCTTGTCTTAGAATGAGGGTTGATATTACCTACCTCATAGGTTATGTTTAGGAGGTACCCCACAAATGCTAGTGGCCATGTTTTTTGTTTGTTTTAGAGACAAGGTCTCACCATGTTGCCCAGGTGGGTCTTGAACTCCTGGGCTCAAGTGATCCGCCCACCTCAGCCTCCCAAAGTGCTGGCATTACAGACATGAGCCACCACGCCCGGCATGTGTTTGTTATTAATATTATTATACCTGCTACTAGTTAGCTGAGTTTGTTGAACTTAATACAAATCCTTTTTAAAAAGAAATCTAACATTTTACCATTTTTCCTGATGTTGACAGATTTAAATTTTGCTAGTTAGGAAACAAAAAGTGGGAAGTTAGAATGAAAAAAGTAGAAGTAATTCACTGTTAGGGGACCATGGAGGAGTGGGGTGATCCATGAATCTGAAGTGAGAATGGGAAGGGAACAGAGGCCACGACACAGTCAGAGATCCACCAGAGTCCTCTCAGTGACCTGTGTCCCTCTGGCCAGAGCAAAGGGAAGATGCAGTCCCATAAGATGGGCGGTGCTGGCCAGGTTGCCCTGCATCCTGCAGATACCTCAGAGCTGGCCTCTGAGTGAAGGCAGGTATTAGAGTTAGAGAAGCACAGCCTCTCCTAACCAGACTGGCTGCTTTGGAGCAGAGAGCTGGGAATAAACCCCAATGAGATGCCACATCATTTCATAAGCAATAATAGCACCTTGAACAATCCCAATTGTTCCCAATCTCATATGAAGAGAGCGGTTCTCCAAACTGCTTCAAATGCAATAGATGCAGATGAAGGCCACTGCAAGACCCTGGCACCTGGTGTCCGCAGGGGCAGGTGACAGCTGGGATGTTTGCAACTTGCCTCTGGCACATGAGGCTCAGCAATCAGTGTGGAAGGGACTTGAATTACAGGGAGAAATCTCACATCTGTGCTGGCATAAAAATACAAGCAGGCAGCCACTCTGACACCTTCCCTGGAACTTCTCCAGTTTCTTCTATCTGACTTGTCATTCTTGTTGTGAGCCTGTCCTTGGAGTTTGTGTGTAAAATAACAAGTTGCATGATAAAAACAGGAGGGAATGAGGACAAGGTGAGAAGTGGAGTCAACAGTCGCCTGTTCTTCAGATCTCCCATTTTATCAAGCTGAACTCTCTTTCTTCCCTGTCCTCTTCCCATCCCTATGAAATCAGTGCCCACAGGACTGAGCCATTAACAGAGTCGGGAGGTGGAATACGAACTAGGGTCCTGATAGCTCTGCTGTGGATACTGCCAGCTACACTCTGCAGCAGGTAATAGTCGAAATAATCTAGTTCACTTCTTCAGTTGTGTGGTTAAAAAATTGTTTCCAATTTCTCATCCTTGTGAAAAGAGCTTCTGTCTCAGTTTAGGATCCCAGCTCTGCTTCTTCTTTGCTGTGACTTTACTTCTCCAAACCTCAGTTTCCTCATTTGTAAAATGAGGACAATAATATATACCTGGAGAAATACTACTTCCATCTGATTTTAGGGAGATAGATCAAATATCTTACTGCTAGGACGTGGCCAATGGTATTCTCCTTGGAGCGGGGATGAACATGCATTCCTTGTCATTCATGTGTTTACATGGCTCTCGCCATCAAACTTGACCTGTGTCGGTCAACACCAGCAAAGTTCACCCTAAGATGATCACTCTGCCCAGGAAAGGATTTTTGGAAATCAAAGCACTGACTGGTTCAGAAGCAGGAACATCTGGCCACCATTTCTAGTCCCCACCGGTTCCACTTCCGGATTCAAAGTAGCCGTCTGTCTCCTGCCACCCTAGAGGACACACTGGGTATGACTGAGTAGGCAACACCTTCTTGGTTTTTAGGCCTCTAGGGTCATCCTGTCCCCTCTCTGGGGCATGACTCAAACTAACGCAATTTTGATGAATGAAGCCACTATTTCTTATAAAACCCTCTGGAAGATGATTCCACATGCTCTACCAGATACCTATGCCCATTTCTGAAAGAGCTCACAGGTGGGATGCTGAAGTCAGTCATGAAAATCACCTAGTCTGAATATACTACACTTAAACTTGGCCACAGGAAACTAGAATGGAAATGAAGAGGAGGAGGAGGAGGCACCCTGTAAGAGACTTGGTGTTACTCCATGACAGCTCAGAAATGGAATTCCTGGTGGAAACTGCACCAGGTGCCTTTGGTGAAGTTCTTCATT